GTTCTTTTTTTAAAGATGAAGAAAAATCTATCGAAAACATTTTTGAAAAAATTTTCTAAATACAACAGATACCCCCTATTATGAATTTACATATGATAGATACGATAAACGCTTGCAAGCATATCGTGTGAAATCAGTTCTCGTATTATCGTTTTTATACGCCCGACAGATGTATTGTTGTGAATGGCTGTGGTTTTTGTTCACTTTTTATTGTGAACCAGCAAAAATCAGCTACGCCTACTATTGGATTTCATACGACAACACCGATTCGAAATACAGAATAACAAAATGCCAGCATTTATCGTGCATCGTACGAATTCATAATAGGAGGTATAATTAGTTAATGGATTCGAAAAAAGAAATGTTTTACCAAAATGTAAAAATTCAAGACCCTCCAACTCGGAGATTCCTTGACCGATCCCGTTGAAATTTTGTGTTACAACTACTATTCATTAGGCCTAACTCATAAAAATGTAATATGTGTAAGCACCAATCAATTTTTGTTATTATTTCGGTGAGACTGTTATGCGGTTTCTGCGATACAAACGTCTATCAAAATTCTTTTGAATTTACAATTTGTTGCTAAATTTCAAAATTACCATTATATGGTCAGAGCTGGGTCGTAATGATTCCTTTAGGAATTAAATTACTCCCAATTACAGATTACAAGGAATTGTAATTAGGAATCAATTCCTTCAGTCCACAGCAAATGAATCGATTACTTTTTCAATTCCTTGAAGTAATTTCAAATGTAATTGGGTTTTTCTTTAATTCCATTACAAGGAATTTCATATTGTAATTGGAATAAATTACGTGCTAGTAATGTAATTTTTTTTTCCAATTCCTTTGAAAGGAATTGAAAATGTAATTGATTTTTTTCAATTCCATTACCTGGAATTGCAGGAGTACTTTAGTTTTTCAATTACTCAAAGGAATTGTAAAAGTAATCGAGAAACTGAAAGTTCATTCACGAATATACAATGTGGAATTTTTGTTGTGGTCAAAGATTAAAATCGAAAGCTCAGATTGGACATCTTCTATGTATATCTATATATATATAAAAATGTTGTGTTCGTATGTCACGGTCATCAAAACCCGAGAACGGCTGAACCGATTTGAATAATATTTTTTTTTATTATTCGGTATAATACCAGAACCAATGATATCGCAAAAATTTGGTGGGTTGCCACCTATTTTAAAATTTAATTAATTTAAAATCAATGAATTATTACAATATGGGTATTAAGTTAAAGAGGTTTAAGAAAGATAACTGCTGGAAGTATTTTTGACGAGGGTGGCCTCCTGTTTGAAAATTTAAACTCAGTCAAATTGTTAAAAAAAAATGAAATATTGCCATGTGGGTGTCAAACTAAAGAGTTTTAAGAAGGCTTACTGCCGAAAATATGTTTGAGGAGGGTTGCCATCTGTTTGAAAATTTAACTAAATTACATTGATAAAATAAATAAAATATTACAATATGGGTATCAAATTAAAAAGGTTTGAGAAAGATAACTGTTGGAAATATTTTTGAGGGGGCTGCCACCTATTTGGAAATTGTAACTCAGTTAAATTGATAAAGTAAATGCAATGTTGGCATGTGGGTGTCAAACTAAAGAGTTTTAAAAAGGCTTACAGTCTACCATGAACACTTCCAGAAATATGCAATATGAAAAGTTCGGTTTATATGGGAGGTGCCACACGCCATTCTCCAACCATGCAAATTTTTCTCCATGAGTATGGAATTGGTCTTATATATGTATATAGATATCACCATACCCAGTTCTAGTCCTCTACCACAAATATATGCAGTTTGAAAAATTCGGTTTGTATGGGAGGTGCCACGCCCCCTTTCTATATCGAAACTTTTTTTAGCTATAACCATCTTTGGAAAGTCTGCAGTAGATTCCGAAATTTCAAAAAAATCGGTACGGCCTTTCTCGAGCTTTGCGAACAGAAAAAAACGCCTTTCAAAATATATATTAGTATAGACTACCCAAACTCTGCTTGTTTTGCGGGTTAAAACACTACTACCGATGAAAATCGGTGGATAAATAAACAAGTTTGCAAGGGTTAAGTGAAAGTGCAATAATTTTTTGTATGAAATACTAGCAGGAAATTTAACAAAGCTATTGCAATTCAACAGTAAAAAATTTTTTTTTATAAATTTTTCGATTACTTTTTAAATTACTTTGAGGAATAGAATTAGAAAAAAATCAACTACATTTTCAATTCCTTTCAAAGGAATTGGAAAAAAAATTACATTTTCAATTCCTTTCAAAGGAATTGAAATAAAAGAAATTACATTACAAGCACGTAATTTATTCCAATTACAATATGAAATTCCTTGTAATGGAATTAAAGAAAAAAACAATTCCATTTGAAATTACTTCAAGGAATTGAAAAAGTAATCGATTCCTTTGCAGTGAACTAAAGGAATTGAATCCTAATTACAATTACTGAGGAATGTAATTGTAATTGTAATGTAATTGCATTTACCCAGCTCTGTATATGGTAGACCAATACCAACCCAGACCAGTTAATTTTTACACGAGTTATGTTGTCACGGACGGACGGACAGACAGACATGATTCAATCGATATAGTCCTTCTGAGCATTTTGGTTAAATATATATTCTTAAGTCTATATCCATCTCTATTCCTTTGCCGTTACATCAGCAAGGTAAATGTACTTTGTGCGCTCGGGTATAAAGATAAACAAATGCGAAGCCGTGCGCCACTGTCACCGACTGTGTAGAAAATCGCTTCTATTTGTTGCGTTTTTTTTTATTTAAGAGTCTCACAAAATTTGTTTTCTCATATTTAAGTTTTAAATAGACATACTCATTTCTCCTAAATTACATATTAAAGTTTTGGGTAGTAGTAGATTTCACCGTCATCGCGGTATTCAATCATCCCACGGTTTTTTGAAAAACTTAAATTTTTGTCGTTCCTACGATCCATTTGAAAAGGAAATACATACAAAATTTTAGTTGTTTGTTGTTGCATTATTAACTAACTCAATTTTCTTTATTTATAGAATGGAACAATACTTGATGGGTTAGCGCTATGGAAATATAACATGGATAAAAAGTTTGAAGGTGTGGAAGAATGTTACGTGTGCTACACTGTAATACACCAAGATACCTGTCAGCTGCCGAAACTCACTTGTAAAACGTGTAAAAAGAAGTTTCATGGATCTTGTCTAGTAAGTTCTAAGAAGCATCATTATAGCACTAGGTTTTCCTCAAAATTTAAGCAAATACTATTAGAAGAATCCTAGATATATGAAGACGTGAGGTTTGCACTATCCCGAATACGAGAAACATATTTAGTATACAGATATTTTTTAGTAGAACTTTCAGAAAAGAAAATGCCTAAAAACAAGACAACTAAGTTGAGATCTGGAGGTTGTTCCTTTAAGGAAGTGCCCCAAAGAGAAAGTTGCCCACATTATGCTCTTTAAAAAGACAATGCAGGGTTTCTCAGATGTTTAAACTTTCGGTTAATTTACGAGGACTTCAAAAACCCGTGTTGACCCGGCGTGCGAACGCGGACTGCCGCACAGTGTATTATTTCCATATTCTAGAAAATATTAATTAAATTATTTTATATCGCCAAATTTCAAAACAACGTCAAAAAGGTTTTCAGAAATGCCTGATAAAAAGCAAACAGTAACAATAAAATTTAAATCAAACTGTAGGGCGAGACGGGATTTGATATGGATGACTACCAAGCGCAATAATATTTGAACTTGTATATTTGAAACTAAATCTCAATGTTTAAGTTGTTGGTGTTATGTGATTTATGCAACAATTTTTAAAATACTATTTTGGTCTTATTTCTTTAGATATGTCCTTTTTAATGAATATACATTTTTGGGATTTTAGTACATAAACTAGGACTGAGTATTTCATGTTAAAGTAAAACGATGTTAACTTAAATTTAATTTTAGCAAATTATTAATTTCATTAGACCCGCAAACTCGTTATCGGCGATTATTCGATAAAGTTTTTATATCAATTTATTTGCCACTCCTCTAAGACGTTAAACAACACAACTTTAGCTGTTGAAAAGTGCTGGTATTGATGAAATTTTCTTTTTTCAGTCCTACCAGGAATTTTATTTTCTTCGAGTAATTAATTTGTATTTTATCTGGACCGGGAGAAATATTGAACTTATATCGGAATTTCGTTGACCCAAGTTGACTTTTTTAACGGTAAAAAAAAATAAAAAATTAATTTTTAAGTCCATTTCTGTCAGTTTACAATTCCTTGTTATAAGGAAACTCTAAATGTCAATTTTGGGCATTTTAGCTATTGTAGTTAGATAAGTATTTCAGATTTTTTTTTGCCTTTTTAAAAATTACAGTTATATAATACGGCAGTATCTTTAAATCACCAATTTTGTAAAAAGCTTCGCGTATCTTATAACGTATCTTGTGAAAAGTTTCATTAATCTATCTACAATAGTTTTCGAATTACAGAATTAAAAGCAGCTAGCTGGGTCAAATCTTACACTGTGCGCCGTGTATAACATACCTTTAAAGCTGCGTCACCGTAGAGTTTTAATGATATTTAACATTTCTGACATTAATTCACTTTTCAATTGTGTATTAATGTCAGGGATATTAAAATAATGTCAATGACATTATTTCCGAAATTCTTCTGACATTAACTCACTTTAGCCTGTGTGTTAATGTCATTAACATTAATTCCCTTACAAAAGTGAATTTATGTCAATTGACATTAATTCCATTGACATTATTGCACTTCACCTTTTTTATTGTATATGAAGTTTTCAATGGCTAAAAATAAAATTTAAAACATTGTTGCGAAATGAAGCGAGTTTATGTGAATTCGGTTTCAATTCAGGTTTTATTTAACAACTAGGCTTACGACCTAGTTTTACTGGATGATGAAAATTTATATAATTAATAATTGTGGAGTGAATGAAATTGGCACCGTGAGAAGACCTCCTACTCTAATATCGTTGGATGCGAGTTCAACTCTCGGTGGAAGCAGAGAGTTTTCTGATTTAATGAATTTGAGTTGTTGCGTGGAACTTAAGAATCTAAGAGAAAATGAGAATAAGAATAAAAAAAATAGTTATGTAACAAAAATGGAATCAGTAAAAGAAAAAAAACTAAAAAAATCCAAAAATCTAATCTTAAAAATTGTTTCTTATAAAAATCTTTTTGTCCAAGATCTAGCTTGAAACTATCCACTTATGAACTACCTTAACAGCCCGATTCTGTGCACTTGATAAATTAAAAATCTTTATAATTTGCAAATTTTTTATTATTTATCAAGAATTAGTTTTCTAGCACAGAAATCAAAAGCTCTTTTCTTGATAAATTATCAAGATTGAAAATGCTATTGACAAATTGAAATTTCATGTGAAATGTATAAATTTTGAATATTAATAAATTTGTAAGAAACTAAATACTCCATGTCCCGGCATGTGAACCTGCGACACACGGAATTATAGTCGACATCTTTACCTACTCGGCTACGGCAGTCGAAAGCTTTTTTGCTTTTAAATTCATATTTTTCATATATGACAATAAAATCAGTTCCACTCAAGGTACATTGAACAGGTAGTATCAGTAGAGCAGCTGATTTGATTTATTTTCAAATTATTTGGTCTCGAAAATGTCAAATATTTTTAATTTTTTCTCACAAAAATTCTGAATTGTTAAAATCCATTTGCATGTGAAACCTTTTTCCATACAAAACAAGCGATTGAATAGCAGCTTTTGGAACGTTCGCCCAACTCAGCAGCACAACCGCTGATTACTGGCCCTTGCAAAGGATGGATCAATGCTTCGAGAAGCAAACAAATTTACTTGGAAAGAAAGTTGCATCAATTTTTATTTTTTCCAATTTCAATTTTTTATTTTTTATAATATTTTGTATTTCACATGGCACGCTTTGATTTAGAAGAAAAAATTCAGAACAGTTTTTGACACTTTCGATACCAGAAGCAACAACAAAATACACGCAAATGTTGTTTTTGCTCTACTGATACTACCTGTTTAATGTGCCTTGGTTCCACTCATGAGGAAATCGTAGAGCTTTTTGTTTTATAAATATAAACACAGAATGCGAAGGAAGCTTTTACTTGATAAAAATCTTAATAAAATTTCTTTACAAAAAATGTATCAAGAAAACACAGAATTGGGCGGTAAAACTACATAAGATAGAACTACCTTTGAACTGTCCCAAAAGGGAACCGTTTGAAAACGAGTGGCAAAGAAATGCACTGGGCGACAATTGCCACCGCCAATTGTATCGCCGTGTAAAACTGGGCAGTTAGTTGAAGGTAAAGTTGGGATATTCATTCATTTCATTTCGGTGATCGATCAATGTAGACAGATCAGTTAAATGAACTAGTTCATTTAGGTCATTCTCGTTCCCGAATCTGCTGATATCTTCAGACGAATTTCTTGGGAAAAGAAAATTGGAAGAAACGAATATAATTTATAAAAATTGCAGAGGTTCAATTAATTGTTCCTTATTTTAGTAGCGTATTAATATTTTCATATGCTTTTCGATTGCAGGAATTAAAAATCTAGAATATTTCGCATGCATCAAAAATCGTACCACTTGTTTGTGTCTAGACGTGAGGGCATATTCTTTCTGTGCCCTTTAAATGGTGGGGAAATCTGCCACAAAGTAAGATAATGGTTTTATTGAAATCCAATATTCTTTTCAATGCATAAATGAATAGCGCAGCTTAAGTTATCCGTCGCTAAAATAAAGTTGCCTAAAGAACTTTCTCTCGGGGTAAGAACAGCTGCTGACTGCGAATTATAAAATATGTTGTTTGTTGTTTGCAGTAAATAGCTTGTCTATGTAATCGAAACCAAGCTGATATACATTTGTATAGCAAATTGTGTATATAGTAAATAATAATTAAATTACTTGAAGTAGTTTATTTTCAATTATCAATTCAGTTCAGGCTGTCGAGGAAGTGCTTTGGTGACAGGTAATAAGATCAACAGAAATAAGGTCAATTGACTTTATTTCCCACCCTTGTGCAAAATAAAGTCAATTGACATTATTACCTCTTTAAAAACGAAATAAAATCCATTGATATTATTTCTCTTTCAAACATTAAATTTGCTTAGCTTCGCCGCGGCCCGGATCAGCGCGCCACACCGCGCGTGCCGCGTTGGCGCTCGCTCCCCGCGTGACCGGCGCGCACACCACGTCGCGTTAAGCCGCGGCCCCCCTTCCCCGACTCCCGCCGTGCTGTAACGCAGGTAGACTTATTTTTTGTATTTGTGAATAAACTTTTTTATATATTTTAAACATCGAGGGCTTATATTTAATAATACCCTCTATCTGCACACTTTTCGCAAAGATGAGATTCTGATATAAAAATCCACCTAAGCTGTAACTGTCATCAGTGATATTAATGCTACCTTATCTAACGACAGGTAATAAGTCCCAGATAATTTCTAAAATCACAAATTAGTTTTTATGCAAATTGCAGATAGAGGGTATTAATAAATTCAAGCTCTCGCTATTTCACATTTTTATATTTGTAAGTTATTGGAAGCAGGTATGCCAACTTGGCTCAAACCATGCCATTTGTCCCTATTTTACTTCAAATGGCACTTAATTTTTCAATTCATTCATTTCAATTTCAATACATTTTTCCGAAATCCTTTGCGTGCATTTCTTTTTTTCAACTAAAATTTTCTAATTTATAAAGGCTATTCAACTGGTTTATCTTATTTTATCATTGCGCTTTTGTTTGGAAAATGTAGCTTTGTTTTATTGCTAAAGGTGAATGATTAAAAGGAATGACACCTTTTTTGGCACTTTTATTTTTCTATTTGGCATATTTTGGCACTTTTTTATCCTCAATATGGCACCTCATAACTAAGGATAGTTAGCAGCCCTGATTGGAAGATTTCTGCTGTGTTTTGGGGCAACCACTTGTCTGCAGTTAAAAATGCATATAATTTGTGTTTCAAAAGTGTGTGAAAACCAATTAATTAACTTATGTGATCTCGGTTCCGATATTAAATAACCAATAATTGTTTAGGCCCACATTTTGGCACAATGGCTCGTTGAATGTGCCATCTAATAAGTAGTGTCGTCGTTCTCCTTATCTGCTTTTAAATGATGTTGTCACAAATTGCTGGCGGAGACATGAATACTCTCTGCTATATAGTGCCCCCTTGTCATAACATAA